CGTTGAGAGCCGTCGGAGACAGTCCATGCCGACGGCAGAGTTGTGAGTCCCTAATTGTGCTTCCGTCTTCTTCGCACATTGACTGTGCGTGTTTGGTTGAAAAAAGGAAGGAGGCAGAGGGCCTGTACGGAAGACTCGACGTATCCAAACCAAGCTATCGCATAGTCCAAAGAGTAAGTGTCGATGCATAAGCAGACGCACTTCTTTTTGTTTTTGGCAGCCGGTCCGTCCGTGCGGCATCCAGCAGCCTTTAATCTCCAAGCTGGAGGCAAAAAGCAGCCTCGACTGATGAGCAACCAAGATCGCAGCTAATCACTGTCATCACTTCGACCGCAACGGAAGAGCAATCTGAGGTCCGTGCTTGAACGCCGCATAAAGAGACCCCACTAGTCGAAGCACAGGCGATGACTTACATGTAGGAGTAGGCAGAAGTCACTGCAGCTCCGTCGCTTCTACCGAATAGAGTCACTTGTTTGTACCGCGCAGGCGAGCGGTGCACCAAACGAGCACTGGCACACAATTTAAGAACGGCAGACAGTTTAGACAGTCCAGTCCAGCTTCTGTAGGTCTTGCAAGGGCACAGAGGGCAGTTCAGACAATGGGCAGTAGCACCAAGTCTGATCTTAACAGACGTGAGTTGTTTTGCTACAACAAGCTGATCTGCAGAATAACCGCAAAAGTGGCCATGCAGGTTGCCGGCACTTGGCACGCCAAGAGTTGATTGGATGTGCACGTTTGTGACGGAACAAAACACAGGGGTTGTCCGTTGTCTGGCAAGACTAAAACGGCAATCGGAGCTTGGACTTGGCTCCATCTGTTGTTTTGGGCAGCTCTGAACAACGGCTCTTTGTTGCTCCTGACCGATCGCTGAAGCTCCGTAGTTTGTGTTGAAAGCTAACACCGGCAAAGCCTGTGCGCCGCAGCCCTTTGTGAGCTTCGCTTTTGCTGTTTCACCGCTTTGTTGTAGTTTGATGCTTGGATTGTAGTAGGGACCAAGTGCTACAGCCGTAGTCGACGAGGCCCAGTCAAGCCAAAAAAAAAAATCCAAGGCACGTTATCGATGAGTGGAGAGCCGAGCAACTTGTATGGGTTGTCAAATCCGGAAGCAAGTCACATTATCACAGGCGGACATGTGGAACGCTTGGAAATGCAAAGGCACTTGAAAGGATCAGCAGGCAAGAAACCATCAATCGAGGTTTCAAGAAGTGCAAATGTTGTTACGGCAGTACTTGAAGTAATTGTTCATGATGCGCCAACCCTTGGGTTCGTTGCTTTGGCATTGAGCCCATCGGTTGGATCTTGTACAAAGGCCGCGAAACAACTGTACATAGACTTGTTGAGCAGAACTTGTCTCCACCATTTTGGTGGCAATACTGCATTGACTTACCAACCACTGAGCCAGCTGTGGAGCAGCTGGGAGTCTTCAGAGGTAGGCATCGTGCCACCTGACGCATTTAGGCATCGCAATCCTTGTGTGCGGATTCCATAGGAATACTTACGGCTTGATGGGGCAGCTGCGTGCTGCATAAAACCCACTTGAATGATCCTTGTGTTACTTGTATGCCGAGCGCAAAACTTGAACCTTGGAAGCACCTTCGCTTGGGTGAGTCAAGCCTTATCACTTCGTCGGCTGCTCCTAGCTTTCTGAAGTGGTGTAACTAGTCGTAGTTGTACAGGCCTACGTAGCAGTAGCAGTTGAGCCAACGACCCTTTGAGGCAGAGCTCGAGAACGCGCGGCGCAAACTTTCTCATGAGTGCAGTCGTGAACTAGTTGTATTTGTTTGAGCAACGGAGAATCATGGTACAGAAACTCATGCCAAGGCCATGAGAGTCTGTAGGCGGGGTGTTTATGATTTCTCCATGTAGCATACCGTATTTTGATGTATTTGTTTTATCGTTGTTGCACTCATTTTCACTTGAGCATGCGAAAGACGTGTCGACTATCCGCAGACGTTCTTCAGAGTTACAAAAGATTTTCAATTGGGCAAGATTCCAAGTAGTGCCGGCAAGCCAAGGAGGCGAGGTCCTAATCGCTTTGCACAACCGCGCGAGCAACCGCTTCCTGCACGGACAGGGCAATTCGGGAGACGGAGGTATCATCGGCTATGACGAAATGGCTCCGCAGGAGTATCCCAGTTGGCGGACCTGGTCCCACTGGCAGGTGGTGGAGAAGAGCCCAGCCGACGCACCCAGCAGCCCCTCCCTCCCGGAGGCCTGGAAATTTAGTGTGCGATGACATCCTGTCGTATGTTTCAGCGTCGCATGTCCGTGAATGCAGGAGGTGAAAACGGGGTCGCATCGTGCTCTCATGTTTGTGAGTGCTTTCAGCAACTCTACGTGGCAACGTGTGGAAAGACTCTGGCTAGGCCATGGCCTCCATGCTTCAGTGATCACACCGACACCCAGATTCCACATGACGATGCTTGTTTTGGGCTCGGACTGCAAAAAGCCGTAGTGGAGGGATTCGTCGCCATTGGTCCAGGCGACGGTTCCCAAAGCAGGGTTGGGAGAGGTTTTCGGTCGAGGGCGTTCAGGCCAGTTTTCATTGGGTGTTTGAGCTTCAATCACTATGGTGAGATCAGAGGACTTCCAGGTTTAGGGTTTGGTAAGTTTTGCGTTCTGTTACGTTTGTGATTTGTTCACTTTGTGACCTCTCGCGGATGCGAAAGTTTTCGAGGGTTTGATGGTCAAAGAAACCCGAAGTTGCCGGATCCGAATCTGCTCGCATAACGAGTTGATGCGGCTGCCGCTTCTGCCTCCTATGCGGCCTCTTGTGTTTGAGACTGCAGCGCGCATGCATTGCCAATCGCACGATTGACAGTAACATCTTGGTTTATGGGAACAACTCCAAGCGATCCATGTAAGCTTTGCAGAACCGATGGCGACAGAAGAAGACGAAGTCCCAAAAATGCGCAATCCGAACTCAAAACATGAAAGCAAAAGCTCGGGGCCGACAAGAAGCACATGTGGGGCTCAGAGCTAGGTATGACCAATATTGCAATCAATATTACGTTGGTCAAGCAGCAGTGTATGCTTCCCACCAGACTTCCTGCGAGGGAAAGCCCGCACCCCTGTAGACTCAATCCTTGCCTGTTTCCGCAAAGCTTAAAACTCTAAACCAAACTATACCCTAAACCCTTAAAACCTCAACCTCTAAACCCTAAACCCCTAAACCCCATGCTTGCCAACGGAAGGAGAGGCCGTTCCTGCTGTTGCGGGCTTCGGCGCTTCCAAAGAAGGCCATGGCAACTCCTGGTCTTGGCGGTGCTTGAGGGTTCCATTGAAGGCTGCTATAAGGTTCGCTTCCGTCAAGGGGAAATGAGAAGGTTCTACAAGAGTTCCTTTAAAGGGTATTTTAGGTTCCAAACAAGGGTTCCTGTGAAGGGTACTCTCGGGTTCTTTCATAGGGCACTGGTTGTTCTGTGATAGGGTTCCCCTTAAAAGTTCCTTTAAGGGTTCCTATAAGGGTACCTTTACGGGTTACTTTGCGGGTTCTTTTCAGCTCTTCTTCTTCATCGGGTGGTTCCTTTAAGGGTTCCTATACGGGTACCTTCAAGGGTTACTTTCAGAGTGAATGTAAGTGTTACTATAAGAGTTCTTACTGAAGTTACTATAAGGCTATAACGGTTACTATAATACGGGTTATAATAAGAGATACTATATGGGTTACCGTAATGGTTCCAAAGGATTAAGGATTGCGACAAGGGCTCCGAAAGGGTGTAGGGCCGCATGGATTCGTGGGTTCGGTTTCAGCGCTCTAAAAGGCTTCACATGAGGGTTTTTCGGGTTCTTTCACGATGGTTCCTCAAACTGGGTACGAGGGTCCCATCGGGTATTGTGGCTGAGGAACGTCTAGGGCTCTGAAGATTTTGGATTGGTCGTTGGTTGGTTGCAGGAGGGTTTTGTATGGGTCTAGGGCTCGGGGGTGTAGGGTTCAGCTTGGGTTTTGGGTTGGGCTTTATACATGAAGATGGACCTGGAATGTTTGTGTGATTCTGTGTACCTGTGTGTGAACGTCTATGTGTCCGCATGCGTGTGCTCTTGATCGTTTCTCAAGAGGCCGGCCGGCTTTGGTACTCGGAGGTTTGCAGCATAATGGCGGAACCTAATTAAGAACCCTTGGGCCTTTATTGGGGTTCCTTTTTCGAATCCTACTATTTTGGGGTTTTAGGCCCAAGAATTCTTAATCAGGTTCCTACACTAGTCAGTGAAGGGGTCCGCGAAGCAAGATTCATGCTCAGGGTGCGAGTCGGGTTTTGGATTGGTGGGCACTTGTGTGAAAGTTTCCCTAAACCCTAAACCCTAAACTAAACCCTAAACTGCCTAGACCAATAGCCCGGTGGGGGGCTTAGCGGTACAGCAACCGTCATAGTGACCCGAAGCCGTTGATCTCAGTCTCCAAACAGTAGAGTCCTGTAAAACTGCTTTCGCCACCTGGCTTCAGCTTCAGAAGAAAGGTACCAGCCCTACTTTCAGAATTCGGGACCGTCCATAAACCCGACCTGTGGGCTCCAGGTACCTTTGTTCCTATTGTTTTCCACGTCTAATCGCAGGGTCATAGCCGAAGTTCCCGCATACCCAGCACCCGAAAGGAGCATCGAAGCCTAAAGCTCTACCCCCGAGCCCGATCAAAGCCGAACACCGAATCCCAAGCTATACCATATCAGTGCTTCAACTCTAATAATAGTAAGAATACTTGTAATAATAATCATAATAGTAATAGTAATAATGAGAATAATAATCCTGAGAGTCTTCCGTGGTGGTGTAGGGTTTGGGTTTAGGGCTTGAGCCCCCAGAGCCCAAAACAGCCTGAGAGCCCCGATGCACTTTCAACCCTTAACCCCGATCCTTGAAAACCCGCAGCCCGAAATAATGAAGCCTTAAACCTCAGATCCTAAGCCCGTAATCGACCTTAATTGCTAGGAGGAAAAAGGTGTTAAACAAAAAACCGTAAAAGAGGATTCAACCATTAAGCACGGACTTCGAATCTCCGCGCCCGCATGGCGCGACGATTGCGCAGTGATTCGCGGCGAGCGTTGCCCGGTGAAAGTTCTGCATATTCCCAGGGGTCCAGGGTTCAAGACTTGGGACCTTTCGTTGAGGCTTTAATCCTGGAAGACGGTCAGGGCGACGCCCTTGTGCCAGCACAAGGTTTTCAGGGTGTCCACGGAGCCCAGTATTCGAGTGACAGCGAACTCGGGTCGACGTCCAACAGTGAAGGTTAATTTTACAGCATTGGTCAGGAATTGTCCAAGCCTGGTGATGCCGGGACGAAGGTAGTGCAAAACTCTGCTGCTTCGAGATGAGGGGTAGTTCTATAAATTTAGGGTCCCTTTTCATAAGGGTGCCGGACTATTTTGGGAACCTAAAAAGTGGCCCTAATTTCGAGAACTACGCATAGACCATCAGGACAGCTGCTTTGACACAGAGAGAGGCCTGCAAGGTTTGGACACTGAACCTCGAACTTAGCCATCAAAGTATAAACCAGGCGCTTTTTTGGCGTGGCGGCGCTTGCGGGATGAGAAGTTGGGAAGCTTCGTCATTGTGCTTTGACCTTCAGTTTTCATGAGTTTGAGGCTTTAGGGGCTAGGGAGTGGTACCAGGGTTTCGGAGGTTAGAATTCGCACACAGGCTGCAGCAGGGTGTCATCGTCGTGGTATCGGTGCTTCTATTGGCTCTGCTCTCTTTTTCTAGTCTTGCCTGTGGCGTTTATGTGAATGTCTGCTGTTGGTGGAGCGGAAACAGCTGGCTTCTCGGACCTTCTTCTGGCTGCGCACTCGGCATCTGCACCGCCCACCAGCTTTCCTAAACCCTAAACCCCTAAACCTTAAACCCCTAAACCCTAAACCCTAAACCCTAAACCCTAAACCCTAAACCCAAAACCCTCAACCCCAAACCCAAAACCCTCAACCCTGCACCGAAAGCCTGAACCCGAGACGGGAAGCCCCGAGCTCCGAAACCCCTGGCACTGTCATGATGCCCCTACCTGGGTTCAGGGACTACGGTCTGAGGTCCAGGACCCTCCTTGTACCCTCAAATAGGGGTATATGGTCCCAAATAAGGGGCATTTAGGGTCTAATAGAGGCTAGATGGAGGGTCTAGGGTTGTGCAGGTTCCAGTATTAATTTTAAATAGAAAATTACCTTATGATTCTTGTTATTTATTATCTAATATTCAATTAATAATATCAGTTAGACTGTAGGATCGGCGTACATGAAGTACGGAAAGTAACTATAGTCTCAGTGGATGTTTTATTTTTACTTTGGCTCACATAAAAGCCAAGAGAATTTCAAGCATTTTATGTTTGTTATGGTTCTAAGGGGGGTTTAGGTAACGGTGAGCATCTTCCTCTCGATTTCACTCCCCTGAGCCCAGAAAACCCAAAAATCTGTATCCCGAAAAGCCCTAAAGCTCCTGCTGCACCCATACCTGTCGACCCTGAACCCGACACTCTTAAATGTGCCAACGCCCTCAAGTAGGGTTTAGGGTTTAGGTTTTAGGAAGCGTAGAATCTCTTCCGAGCCGTTTCTCCTCTGAGGCCCCGCCGACGCTCTCCGTCGCTGCCGCAACGTCGGCCTCGCGACGCCTCCTGGATGTCTTACCAATCTTCTCGGGGCTTAAGGGTTAGGGCACGATATTGGGGCTTAGGGTGTAGAGTCTGGGGATCCAGGCTCTGTGATGGGTCGCGGGCTTGGCATGGGTTGGCATGACAGGCTTTAGGGTTTGGCCTCTTCCAGGCGTTGTAGGAGAACGTTGGGATTACATGGTCTAGGTCGAGTCAATAACATGCTATGCAAAATTCAGTTTTCCAGGGATAAGTAGGGTTGCCTCGGTGTCGGGAATTGGCTTTCGCAAGAATGGGAGTTTCCGAAAACAAGGAACCCCCCAAAAGCACCCTAAATATTAGGATCCTTATTATAAGGACCCAAAAACAAGGTACTGTACCCCTAATTTTCGGAAACTAGCAAATGGAGTCCTACTTTTGACGACTCCCAAGTCAAAGGGGCAGAAGCTCTTTGAAGTTTAGGTGCCACCGCATTTGGAAAGAAACTTTCAAGCCCAAGACTCTGAACTCAGAGTTTTGGGGTGTCAGAGGCAGCCGGAGGATTGAGTTTTCTAGGAACGGGAAGAAGGACTTCGGGTTGCTCGGGGTGACCCAGGACCTAGACTTTTGAGTTGCAGAGTTCAGGGAAAGCTTGAGTCTAGACCAACCCTCACGCAACCTCAAGTTTTGTTGTTTGACAACAGTTGAATCAGACCCTAAACCCTAAACCTTAAACCGACTCCCGGCGTGCTTGGTGTCTACGGATCATGGATTTCGAGCGATCAGGTTTCACAGTTCGAGGCTGGACTTCAAGTCTGGGTTCGAAACCCGAAACCCGGAATCCCAAGCATCGCATCCCAAGCCTTGCGAAAGCTGAACCGTTTCCGTAGCCATTTTGGCTCAAGTTGTGCTGGCTAGGCATCTTCTTTGAAATGCGCTTTCATGCCATGCTTTGCAAACAAACTTGTGGTTGCAGCCGACTTCGTTTTCAACCCTTTTTTGCAGGCATTACTTTATCCAGTTTGAGAACAAAATCTACATGCAACTTTTGTTTCGTAGTCTCCTCGTGGCCGGGGGGGTAGCATCAGCCCCACACGTGGGCTCATGGTTTCGAGTCCGGAGCTATCAGACGTGGTGGATACCTTGTGGGTTCAAAGTGCGGGTCACCAGCATTATCTTGATTTGCTTTGCCGGTGGCTGAACCAGTTCGGCAGGCGTCTTGCAAGGGTTGAGCGTTCTCTTCTGCGAGTGAGCCGTTTGGAAAGAGAGGCTACTCGTTTGAATCGCTGCAACGTTTTGCTTCTGCGAGCACTGGAGGAGGCTCGCGACGAGAGCATCGCTTTGCGCGTTAGGGTTGCAGCTCTTGAAACGGCTGGCTTGTGATTATGAAGCGCCCTGCAGATCCAGATTTCACTTCGGAGCGTAAGACTCCAGCATTGCTTCCTGCAAGTGCTGGATTGCCGGTCCCAGCCCCTAAGCATAAAGCCTCAGCCCCGCCGCTGCCCGCCAAAGGCCTGGATCTTCCCGAGCCTCCGTCACGCCGGGAGCCTGATGCTCTACCGGTTCCAGCCTTGATCAATCGGCCCTGCTCCTCTCTAGGTGGTTCTTCGGAATTAGGTTTGGCTGCCTCTTCTGAACTCGGCGATCTTCAGAAAGCTGCCGCTGCGTTTATGTCTTCGGGTTCTAGGTTAGGCCCTGCCTTTTCAGATAAGAAACGCGCTCAAGCTGGTATCAGTATCAATGCTTCGCAGTCTCCAATTGCAAAGCAAGCCTTTCTGGCAGTCATCCTGGCATTGGGCTCTCTTAGTGTTATAGGCCAAGGCCTCGCAGGGAGCAAGCAAGATCACTTGCCTCGGTTGCTCTCCCTATGTGTTGCATCGACAGTGATTCGCTACTGCTCTGCGTTCAAGCAATTCCTGGCTACTTTGCGTGATATGCAGATTCCCATTGAATCTCTGACTTCATTTCAAACGGCTGATGCATTGGTTGTGATGAGTCTGGCCCGTAGCTCTGATCCGGAATCTGGCTCTCATTCTTCTACTGCGATCAAGGCAGTGCGCTGGGTTTACAAAATGCTTGAGGTGACATGTCTTTCAGTGAGCCATTCGCAGATCATTGCCAGCTTTCTCAAGAGCAAACTTCCTCGGGAAAGGAAGGAGGCCGTACCACTATCACTCTACGTGGTCGTTCAGATTGAAAGAAGAATTCTCTCGCGGGAAGCCTCAGACCCAGAAGTCTTGCTGCTTGGGGCTTTCCTGGTTCTACTCTGGGCATCACTGAGATTTATGGACGCTCACAGGGTCCATTTTACTTCCTTGGCGTACGATGGGCAATCGCTGCGTGGGAGTTGCTTCCAGACGAAAACCACCTGTTTCGGGCAACCTTTCGGCCTGCTCTGTCATGGTTTTTTGAGTCACGGCTCTCATTCTTGGTGTCATCGTTTTTTGCAGGCGCTGGACAAAGCAGTACATCAACATCTGTCACTTCACCCTGGGGTTCCTCTGCCCTCCAGCCTTTTGCTTTCGCTGGACAGTGCAGGCAATACTCTTTTGCCGCTGCAGCCGATGAGCCATGCTGCCACGCTTCGTCATTTGCGCCACGTGATAACTTTACCTTGGAAAAGCAGCAGGCCCTCTGCAGTATCTTCCCCTGTTTTGAATTATACGATTCATTCTCTCAAGACTACAATGCTATCATGGTCAGGACAGAGACCCGGGGTGTCCCAAATTGAGAAATCCTGTCAAGGACACCACCGCCTCTCTTCGAGCCAACTCTATAGTAGGGACGATATCGTCCCTTCTTTGAGGGCACAGATGAAAATACAGCATGCAGTTCGATCCGGCGCTCGCTTTACGACTCCGCTACATCGCGGGGCGCAGTCCCCCATGGATGAACCGGATGTCCAGTTGGAAAACTATTCCAAGGAGATTGGGGCGTGCAGCTGGCATTACTTCCGGCATTTCTCGCTTCGCTCTGGCAACAGACTTCCTGTGGTGGATCTTCCTTCCAAAGAGACCGTCCCCAGGGAGCAGCAGAAGCGAATTCCGTCTTTTCAACTGCGTGACATTCAGTCTTCGGATGAGGAGTCGGGTGACAGCTCGGCGGATGAAGGGCCATCGCTTGGACCAGCTGAGGAGTTTCTTTTCGGCTCATCGACAAGTATCCAACACGTGTTGGTTCGCACTTCTGCATCAAGAGGTATTCCTTATGGAGGTGCATTTGTCAGGCCAGCATGTGGGGTCGCGCTTCCGTCGGATCACATTCGCATATCTTCGGATTTCAACCCTCAGCTCCAGCTTTGCAAGCGTAGGGCTTGCTGTATTGCGTATGGTCAGCTTCAACAATGAGTCGCATTTTGCGCAAGGTGCTAAAAGATTAGGGGCTTCCTCGCAGTGCTGGTTATGTGAATGCTTGTGCGCATGCTCTCAGTCCGCCTTGTATTGCAGCAGCACGGCGCTTTTGTGTGTTCGGCTCAAACATGCAGTTGCATTCTTAGTTTTGCTTAGGTCTGCTTTGCACTTGCATGGACCTGCAGGAAACAGTCGCAGATCGTCGGTACCACTTGCTCAGGCTGTCCCGGCTTTCCTACACATCCCGCTTTGTGCGGTTTTACTTTGCAGACTGGTTTTATCTGGTGCAATCTGTGCGGGAATCAGCGCGTGTGCTTCAATACCTTTCCAGCTGGTCTTGGCAGCAGCTTCTGCAGACATCTGACTACTTTTGGCAACGACTCAGAATTCCGCTTTACCAGTAGCATCAAGTAGGCTTGGACACAAGCAGGCAAAAAATGTAAATGTGTGGTGCATCTTGTTGGGCACTCGCGGGTGCTTTCGAAAGCATTTTGGGCTGCAAGGTGGTTCTGCGTTTCCATTATCTTGGTTTTTCATGCCAAGGCACGGGTTGCTTCAGCTGCTGGGCTTATCTGTCAAGCCGGTGCACATGCGTACTTCTTGCTCTGGCTGCATTGACTCAGCCCCCACCGCGCGTCCCTGTAGTCTCGGCTCGGGTTCCCTAGGTACTAGACAACCCCTCTTTAGCCCTGGGGTGTAGTTTGCGCAATGTCCCTACCTGATATTCTCAAAGCTGAAGGCCTCTCGGAGGCCCTCATCAAGGTGGCAACAGATGCGGGGTGGACTCTTTCCACATTCCGCCATGCGGCTGACTCCCCAGCTGACCTTGAGAAAGTGCTTCCAGACATATTTGGGTCTTCAGAGCTTTCTCGTCTTCAGATTGCGCAGATTCGTGCAGCGTGGGCTGGGTTGTCAAGCAGTGCGTCTTCTGCCCCACCTTCAGCTCCGGCTGCCACTTCGGATGCTAGCTCTTGGGTAGAAACCTTTGCCCCAAAAAGCACCGCTTCGACGCTCACAGAGTACAAGAAAACCTTTCTGGCTGCGTACACGAGTGAGATCTTGTCTCCCTCCACAACGCCCTCGCTTCGCTTGGTATCTCTAGCTGCTCATCAAGAAAGTAAGAAAGATTACAAGTGGATCCCTTGGAGGCATCGCATGTCAGAGGAAAAAGCGGCTGAGCTTCAGCTGAGCAGGCCAGCCAAACAACCACGCTTGGAAGCTCTCGGCATCTCTAGCTTGCTTCTTGATGAACCTCCCACGCTGGAGGTGGGCGACAGCTTTATGGGCGTTAGTGCTGTTCAACGGATTCTAGCAATCCATGACGTTGCGTTGGCCATGGTAGGCTCTTGTCATCTGGCCCGCCTCAAGGGCTACAGCAGCAAGTTCATGCACCTCTTATCGCAGCGCTATGAAGCTTCATCAGGTCTCAGGCCCCCAACAATTCTGGAGGCCCAACAAGCTGATTGCAAGCTCTGGCAGGGGATCTACGCTCTCGTTCTTGAGAAGGATTGGAACTTGAACGATGCCATCTTTGAATACACCGAGGTTAGAGGCGACATGTCCAATCTTCTTCAAGCCCGTGCTAGGCCTCCTCCCTCCCCGCGCTTCATGGACAAAGGCTTCAAAGGCAAAGGGCTAGGTCGTTTCATGTCAGAGCATTGGAAAGGCCAAGGCTCTGATGGCAAAGGCA